TATTAATTATGACTTGATGCCATAAGGCATTCTTTACCATCGGGTAAACGGAGAAATTCGCAGTGTGTGTCGCAAGTTGATTATTATGTAGTTTCAGTTAGGTTACAGAAAGAAAATTGGACTCTGTGTCAAATTTATAACTTGGTACCTAGAAACTTTTTTTAAAGAAATTTTGACAGATTTCATAAGAACAAAACCACGAAAAATCAAGAAACCATAATTATTTATTTAAGTGTAAAGTACATTTAAAGTCAAATTAACATTTATTGGTTTCGGTGCCTTGCCAACTCAAGCAGTAATATAATGGCTTTTCAGATCTATTAATACGCACAGCATAATTTTAATGTACTTTAGGCATAAGTATTACTGTTTCATTAAGCGACAAAGAAAAATATATATCTATGGAAGGTGGACGGACGTAAGGAGTTCGAATTTGTATTCGTTTTTAAACTAAAAAGGAATTTAAGGTATATGGCTGCTTCTACAGGCATAGCGACATTTTGCCGTGTAATGGCGTAATGCATATCAAACTAATGTCTAAAATGGCAGCTTCGAGAGTGAGATTTTATTTTACAGAATAGGGTATTTGACAAGTTTTAGAACACAATATCACGCTATTGACTAATGTTTATGGAGTCCGTAATAAGTAGATATTCATCATTCTATTATGTATTTCAGTAAAAATAACCAAATTAAAAACTCAATTTTCAAGTTGCCGCGACAACGTTTCTCTGGACAATATGGCGTCTTACTAGTGTGTGACGTCACACGACTATTATTAAAACGTCAAGCGATGAGAACGAATCGGAAGTTTACTTGCGTGTGACGTCATTTAGGCTCCGCCAATCCCTAACGTTTTGGGCCACGTGGCAATAGATAAGAAAACTATTATCATTTTTCGTGGGTTTCTGGTAAAATAATGAATATTTTTTTGTAATGATAGTAAAAACCCCTGCCAATATTTAATCTTAACACAGATGCTAACAATTGGTACTTTATTTTTAATACTGTCAAATACCCTATTTGGTAGCATTTCCGTAAACACGTAAGTTACAGCACGGATCTCTTTATCCTTATCGTGGATAACGGATACACCTAAATAATTGTTATCTTTTGAAACCTAATGTGATTTCTCAAGTAAATTACAGCAAAGACCTATTTTTAGAAAAATCTACTGATCAGATAAGTTCTATCATAATAAAGTCTTTAATTTTTTGTACTGAATTGTCAAATAATTCATTCTAAATAATTTAAATACGTTATCGTTGCTCTTAACGTAATCTTGAGCGCAACAAGCGGGGAATCGTTTAGGTGGGCGGACTTTTAGACAGTTGTCCAACCGCCGGCAAGGAAGCGACTAAAAGACCGCTTAACTGAGTCCTCGCCTGCGGGGTAAAAAGTGTGAGGTGCGGGCGGCAGGCAAATTCTTGTCAAAATTACAACTGCCCGCCGCCCGCACCTCTCTCTCTCGTCCTCCCTCACACACTGCACCCCGCAGGCGAGGTCTCACTTAAGCGGTTTACGTATAACTATCGGCTATTTCGGGCTTATGGACCGAACTGCCGCTGTAAGTGTCCCGGCTGCATTATTCTACGAAGGAAGAGGAGATCGTAGAGTACCTGCGGAACAAGACGAAGTTCTGGATGAAAGTCGCACGTTTGGAAACTCGCCATAATGTGAATTTTAATTCATGCGTGGTGCGAGTACCAAACGAACACCTAGCGAACTTTTGACCTTTCGGCCAAAGCTATTCTTTCATAATGTTCGACGGTTTAGAGGCTGGATACCGGACACACATAAAGTTTTTACTAACATAACTATTAAGTTTGGTTACTAATTATGATGTTTTATATTTGTATATATATTACACTTTAACATATGTATCTATGGCCTACGATGCCTATGAAATATTTCCTCAACCAAATAACGTACAATATTTTTTTAAATAGATCCGACAAATGATTCCGCCCCACCTGATGTTAAGTGACGGTGAAGTCCAGACGTGAAGATATCTGGTACAGCAGTTCTACTGAACTATCTTGATTGTTAGAAGGGATGCGGAGAAGATAAACGTCCTTTTTGTTCAAGATTAAGTTTATTTCTGTCTCATAAATGAAATACAATAATAAAGTAAATATTAAAACATACGGTGAGTATTTCACAATTTTAACAAAGGTAAGTGTTCTACTTATAAAAGTGCAGAGTTGCAATATAAACAATTTATTAATTTTTGCTATAACTAGGTACTTACTACATGTCCCCTGAAAAAGTACAGGGTACACACACACCCCTCCATGGCAAAAGAAAAGCGTGGTATAATTAACCAACTACATAATATCCACTTATATATAATATAACAATATATTTCTTTTTATTTATTAAAGAATAAAAAATACTTAAGGAAATAACAATCTTAAATTAAATATTATATAATTTTGTATTATTTTTATGAACTATTATACTACTACTATTTGATGACATGTCATTTAAAACTTCAAATGGACCATTATAAATACAGCTTAACTTATCTTCAACTTGATTTTTTAATAATATTAAATCTCCACTTTTATAAATTATTGGGTTGATTGTTTTGTCATTTATTTGTTTTCTTTTTTGTTTATTAACAATTAAATTACGTACGAATTACTCTTTTTTGATCAGAGTCAGTAATTTTCAATATATTTCTCGAAATTAAAAATTGCGGGGTTAATAAGTTCAACTTTTTTGCTGCTTGTACTTTTCATTATACTTTCGTTATATTTGTTTTTTATAATAAGAACTTTATCTATATTTATACATTGACACAAAGACTCTAAGTCCCTCGCTAACACCTCTGTGGTTAATAACGATCGGGTACTTAGATGAATCGCTGATTGCGAATGTAAATAAATAAAATAACCCGCTTTTGAAATAACATTTCCCTTATATTTTACATACTTTTCCGAATTTACTTTATCAAAATTCAATTCTATAATATCATTGGGTTTTGTGAGAACTTCTACCACCACAGGTTGATCAGGCCTACTTGTGGTAGAGCTCTCTTGGAATAAATCAGTGTAAGTGCGCTGGTTTTTGGTTTGCGCTCTAGTTAGAACAGAAGAATTACTTTCTCTCATTGATTTCAAAATAGAAGATGTGACAGGTATACGGCTCAATGCGTCTGCAGCTGCCATTTTTGATAAAACTGCACCCAAACCAGTTTTACATGCGTCGGTCTGTAACAAAAACATATTATTTTCGGTGAAATCGGGATAAGCCAAAATTGGGGGTTCCATCATAGAAGATTTTAACTTTTCAAATGCTGTTTGACAATCAGATTACAATTCAAATTTTGTGTCCTTTTTACACAATTTCTTCAAGGGGTAAACAATGTTTGCGAAATTAGGTATGAACCTACGATAATAATTTGCAAACGCGAAAACGTTTTACGTCGTCGCAGTTCATTGGCACTGGATATTTTTGCATAGCTTCAATATTGCTTACGTCAGGTAAAATACCGTTTGACGTTATTCTGTGGCCCAAATAAACAATCTCTTTACGAAGAAAATCACACTTTTCTAAATCGTTCAAGAACACTAATTAGGTTTTTATTATGATCCTGGATATCTCGTCCTATAACTATACAGACATCTAAATATATAAAGGCTGATTTGTAATTTAAACCGGACATGGCTATAGTCATAAGTCTGGAAAATACACTAGGTGAAGACTTTAGTCCCATCGGACAACGTTTCTGTTTGGGCATAGAATGGAGTCTTCTTTAGTAAAAACTCGGTGTTTTTTAGTAATTTCGCTTTATGTTAAAATAGATACAATTTAGCAGTAACAGTTTTCTTGACAGAATGAATTTAGCAAAGTCATGACATTATAGTCGGTAAAAAACCAGCCGAACACACGAACACGAGCGACATCTGCTATCTGCGGGCGACAACCAATGACGCTCGTGCTAAGAGCGCTCCGGTGTAACATCCAATAGATGGCGCCATCCGTTATATAAGTGCAATTTTTCGTTATGATTTGTAATATTCCTTTTCTTTTATATGTATGTATATGTGGGGTTTATACGGGCGCGAACAGTTTCATTTGGTACATTTTTGCATCCGATGTGAACGCTGTGAACTTACGTGACTCATTGTCTAACGATAACTGATACATTTTATCAATACTAAAAGCTGTATAAATTCGGGAGTTATCATTAAGTGCTAATTGGTAATAACTTTGGGAAAGATCTAATTTCGAAAAGTATATATTATTTGCAAGGGAAGCTAGAATATCGGTGATATTCGGAAGTGGAAATTTTTGTTATATGTTATTTAGCTGTCTGTACAGACTTGAATGTTGCCGATGACGCTACCAGTATGCAATCAATTAACCTCGACGCATCCCACAGATGGTATCGCGGTCCATCTTTTCTTTTTAAATCCGTCGAGGGCTGGCCTACAGAGCCAATATATGCCTCGCCAAACACCGATGAACTTAAGACCAATAGTTATGAGTTGGTCGGTCTAACTTCCTTTGTCGAAGAGTTACCGACTCCGGACACAGCCATTTTTGCTAATTTTAGTAATTGGCAGCGCTTATTACGTGCTACAGCCCGGGTACTTCAAGCTGCGGCAAAGTTTGGTGTCATTTTGGCTTCCATTAGAAATTCCAAATTGAAAGGCGAAGTTGTTTGTGCCCGCCATCCTTCAGCATCCACTACTCACGTAACCTTTTTTTTTTATATAGTAGGAAATGCTTTATGCATACCCAGTAACGATATGGGGCCGTTCCTGGGTTATGTGGGACTCCAGGGTTCTGATTACCCACTAAAACATACTGTACTCTTCATGTGCTTATTATCTACTGCACGAGAAAGCGCAATAGCGCAGGCGTTCGCACAGCGGACAGCACTTGGCCTCGCAGCCTCCACGGGAAAAGAAGTTGCCCATCGAGTACTCATGGGCAACTCCTCAGCGCCAGGGCGGAATGGTGATGATGGTGGATGCTAGAGCCCCATTCTAGTACCCACCGCCCCGACTCGGCGGTTGGAGAGCGGCATATTGGCGTCTCCGCCGCCCGACTCTTCGCTTGCGGATTGGGTCTGCAGAGGGATCCTCCTCTCGAGCCCTTTCCGCGGCCTCCCTCTGTAACATTATCTGCTCGCAGGAGGCGACCGCCTCCCAGGACGTCGCGCTGTCGACCATAGCTCTCACCAGAGTCGGCAGCGAGAGGTCCCGTCCCACAACAGTGACGAGCTGGCGCCGTTCAGCGTCAAAAGCCGCACAAGCCTCTAAAGCATGCTGCGCCGTGTCGTCACCAGCCCCGCACTGATGACAGCGGATATCCGGCTCTCTTCCGATCCTGTGCAGGTAGTGGCCGAAAGCCCCATGGGCAGTCATCACCTGCACAAGTCGGAAAGATAAGGAGCCGTGTCGCCGGGTCATCCATTCGACCAGGTAAGGCCCGATTCCCGTTATACTACTCACGTAACCTGCCTTAACCTGCCCAGCCGGTGATTCATCATTCTTGCGTATAAAGATTCGCCCGTTCCGTATCCAAACATATTTATAGCCTTTTTCTCGTGCTATTTTTCTGGTTTCCGCGTGCAGCCCTTTGTAATACGGGCAGAGATGTTCAGAAACATAGACAGCTGTTTTCTCACAACCATAGCCCAGTTGCACGGTGTTAAGCTTATCTTTTGAGTTGGCCTTATTAAATTTTGATACCGCAGCTATGATATTATCTCATGTGCGAGTATTTGGCAGTTTCACGATTATTGATCGAGGTCTCCTGCTAGTGCTGTCAAGTTTTCTCACTCTGTGGCATGCAATAATGTCAGTCTCTTCAATGGGACAAGAATTTACTGTTTCTATTTGCATCACCAATGAAAGTATGTTTTCAGATTTATTTTCCGGAACGCCGTTGATTTCGATATTATTTTGTCGACAGTGCTGTTCCATTAGGTTCAATCTGGATGATAAATCACGAATAGTATCCTGCCTGCTCAAAGTTCTGTTTTTCCAAGGAAGATATCTTATCGGTATTGGTTTTTAAGTCTGCTTTTATAGCGTCATAATCGTCACTTAGGAAGACAATCGAGTTTTTTAACTCTTTCAATGCATTGAGTTCATTTTTGATGTCACGAAGTTCGCTCTCAAAGTTTTTCATAGCTTCTTTGATGGTTAATTGAATTTCCTGTTTATTTAAAGCTAATAGGTTTGGATCTAATTGTGAAGAAGAAGGTGTGATTGCAGTTGAAACTTCTTTTCAGTTATCATGAACGTTGCTGTCAAACTTGGAACTCCGTATTGGTGTCAGAGTTATCACCACCTTTTGACTGCATATTTTTACAGACTGGGCACTTCCAGGCGGTCTTGGATTCTTTGGACAGTTTCTTGAATTTTCCTTGCTTATATTATCGCATATATAGTGATACATGCCAGAACATTTCGAACATGTAATCACATCCGAAGCAGAGATATTTTTTTTACAACCACCACACGTGCTCATTGTTGCAAAATTTTCCCGACTATGGTAGATTTTTTTGGATATCGCAACTCTTTTTGTCTATGTGAGTTGTCAACATGAGGTGACAGCTTGTCAATTGATTATGACGCTTCCCGCTATGAGGTTTTGGCGGTAGCAAGAAAAAAATATTTACGAGTCGAAATGATAGACGAGTTATATATCACCAAATCCTTTGTTTTGCTTGTGAATAACAATTGTATTAGTCAATTGTATAACACTTCACTGTTTGAACTCCTATTAGCAACGATATTACGAGTAAACTAAAAAATATCTTAACAAAAGTGAAGACTGAGTAAGTACCGTGACAAGCAGTTTGACGTATGACGGATGTCCTCCTTTTGAGGTTAATAGTGGTGACAGCTGCTAATACATTACAGCGAAGAATGAGTATGAAGAACGTATCACCTGTAAAAGGCAACAAAATTGATTATTAGAAATGAAAATATCGGTATGATACATATTCAAAAATGTAACTATGATATGACTTATTCATACATCTTTAACAAAGTTTCTACAGCGGATTTTTGTGGATTTTATACAATAAATATAATTACAATCTAAAGGCCAATTACACAAACTCATTAGATATTAACGGCGTTAATATATGACAATACATATGACATTTGATTAAATGGACAAGACAACAAAATGACAAGAAAAGAAAAACAAACACTCAATATTCATTCATATCATACGAAAGGGTTTTCAAGAATTTGTCACATGATAACCTGATGTGTGCGTGCGTTCGTGCGTGCGTGCATGCCTGCGTGTATGTGTGTGTGTGTTCATTGTGTCCATTCAAATACAATGCTAAAACGAGATAAACGAGATGGCGGGCGCCGCGCCCCGCGCCCCGGGCACTACATGGTTCAAGCGGTTCAGTGTGATACGATAGCGCAATAAATAAATATTATATTCTACCACATACATGATAGTACTTTTATACTGATAATTAAAGCAATTCGTGCAAAATTATTCCCTAACCATTACAAAATATCAAAAATGCACAACGTTAATATTCAAGTTTTCACTTCTGCCGGCACTCCCGGAGTGCAACCCGTCGTTTTCTTTTAACTGTGAACTTGCTAACTTGGGAGTAGTTCGATGGCGCAGGTGGTTAACGCGTTCGGCTGCGATCGTTGAAGTTAAGCAACTTTCGCAGTGGTCGGTCATTGGATGGGTGACCAAAAATCTTATACCTCGAGTTCCGTATTGTGCTTCGGAAGGCACGTTAAGCCTTTGGTCCCGGCTGCATCTGCAGTCGTTAGCTCCCGCCAATCCGCACTGCGCCCGCGTGGCGGCTCATGGCCCAATCTCCCTATTCCATCCATAGGGAAGGCCTGTTCCCCTGCAGTGGGGTTATTAATAGGCTGATGATGATAATTTTCCACAAACAGGTGCTTCAACTCGAGCGGAAAAGCCGCTACGCCTTACCTCTCTTATATATAATATGATTCAACTAACTTTACTCTATTTATTCCACTTCCTTTGAGAGTTTGAATTTTAAAGATAAAAGAAATCATAATAAAAAAGTGGCATTAAATAGACCTAAAACTGAACGTAATCATCCCAAACCCAAACTTTTAACGCATTATAATACTAAATTGAAGAGTAGTGATAAACCAAATAATTTTACATTGAAATGTGAAATTTTGTAATCAGTCTGGTTACACCGGCCATGTTTACCTACTCTCGATACAAAAGTGTTGGAAACATTGGTTTATTTGTATATATAGCTTTTGGTTTAAAGGTACTTGAACAGAATATACTAACCGATATGAAGTTGGAGTAGGACAGCAGCACGACCCCGAAGGCGGTCATGTAGACCGGCACTTGGCTTCGCTGTATCGCCACCACCGCCATCGACCGCAGCGACTTACTCCCGGCCACAAACTCCCAGCCGCAGTGGAACATCGACGTGCTCACCGTCGACGCCTGGTGAATATTGAGTGGTATATTTAATCGTCATTCATCAGCTTTGATTAAAACAATAAGGGAAGATAAGATACGATACGCTCATACTAGCAATAAATAAAATATGCTCCGACTCAACTATACTCGTATAAACAACTGTCACCCACGCACACTTCAGAAAGTACCCCTAGCACGAAACATTATCGAATTCGAATAGTTTGCGAGTGCTAAATGTTAATGTCAAATTTTGTTTGGACACTTGAACAGCAGCGCTACAAAGTATGTAACGAGAACTAAAAATTAGTACACATTTGACAATGACATTTCGGACTCGCAAACGTTACGAATTCGATATTGGGTCGTGCTAAGGGTACTGTACTCTTAGCCCGAGCTAATATCGATTTCGATCCTGCCGGGCGGCCGCAAAACTGTTTAAAACTGTTTAATTTCAAAACTCACAAAACCGCAGTTTTCTGCGGTCCGGCAGCTGCCGCGGCTGCGAGATCGGGCGAAACCCGTCTGGGTAATCGCGTCCCACGCGCGCCCGCAGTAGGTGCAAATCGCGCCATGAGTTTTGGTTTTGCGCTTTACCTACAATTTCACATTCTACGGTAGTTGCGGTCACGCAGCCGCCGGGAGTTCTTAGCCTTACTGTATGGATGTACCTTTTGGATCGCGCCTAATCTTGTTCTGTTCTCTCTCGAATCAGAGCGCCTACTCATCAAGTACCCTTCAGAGGACCACTGTAAAATAACGGTGCGTTTAGGCGGCATTGTTTTTTACTATATAATAAAAGGTTGGGGGAAAATACTTTTCGCATTAAAGTATGTATGAACTTATACGTATAAAATTGAATAAAATCTCTAAAAAATTTAAAGAAGATAATTCCAAGAAGATAAATTAGAAAAATGTGGGATTATCATTTGTTTTTCTTACTGTCAAGATGAGTGAAACTAATGAAGAAATTCGATACATTTTAAAATTTTACTACAAATAAAAAAGGTAAAAATGCAATTCAAATCGTGAAAAAAATTGTGATGTTTATGGACCTATTGCAGTGTCTGTGGGAGAAAGCGATGGTTTAAGCTTTTTCAATCCGGAAATTTTGGGTGTAAAAGATACACATCGCTCTAGTCGTCGTTTAATGGATAAACTTGATGCCATTTTTCAAAAATTGGAGCAAGATCTGCGTATCGGTAGTTACGACGTAGCTGAAGAACTAGGAATTTTCCACAAAACTGTTTTGGCGCATTTGAAAAAAGCTGGGTACACTAAAAAGCTCGATATTTGGGTGCCTCATGAGCTCACTGAAAGAAACCTAATGAACGGTGTACTCATTCGTGATTCTTTATTACGACGTAATGAAACCGAACGATTTTTAAAGAAGCTATTCCAATAATTATTGGATTTAGCCAGAGTCTGTGAGGCCTGATCGGCTTTTGACCACGACCTTTTTCGCACGTTCTTGTCGTACGTGATCCACTTTTCATCGCCAATTAAAAAGTGGAGCAAGTTCTGCGTATTGGTAGTTACGACGTAGCTGAAGAACTAGAACTATTTTTGAAGAAAAAATGGTATTTCATATTACGTCGTAATAAAGAATCACGAATGAGTACACGGTTCATTAGGTTTCTTTCAGTGAGCTCGTGAAGCACCTAAATATCGAGCTTTTTAGTGTACCCAGCTTTTTCAAATGCGCCAAAACTTTATGGAAAATTCCCAGTTCTTCAGCTATGTCGTGACTACCGATACGCAGATCTTGCTCCACTTTTTAATTGGCGATGAAAAGTGGATCACGTACGACAAGAACGTGCGAAAAAGGTCGTGATCAAAGGCCAATCAGGCCTCACAGACTCTGGATAAACCCGGGTTAACTCGCAACAAGGTGATGTGTCTGCATTATTCATTATGAGCTATTACTGCCAGGCAGGACTATATAGGCAGACGATTCTGAACTGTACTGTGAATAACTGATAAGATTAAATCATGAAGTTTAGAGAAACCGGCCGGAATTTGTCAACAGAAGGGTTGTAGTTTTTCATGACCACTCACATCAGCCACTCAGCAAAAAATAAATGAGTTTGACTGGGAGGTGTTTATGCATCTTCCGTAGAGTCCTGACCTTGCACCCTGCCCTTCAGATTTACACCTGTTTCAGTCTCTTCAGAATTCTTTAGGCAGTGTCGGGGTAACATCACGAGAGGATTGCCAAAACCACTAGTCACAGTTTTTTAACCAGAAGTCACAAAATTGACCTCCTCCGTAACCGAGTGGTTTGGACCGGGTTTCATGGTGTTGCCGACTCGAGAGGTTCCGGGTTCGAATCCCGGTGGGGGCAGATGTTTGTGTGATAAATACGAGCATTTGTACTCCAGTCATGAATGTTTAATATGTATTTCTATATAAATATACTTATATATGTACAGTATATGTATTCTATCCGTAACCCTAGCATCCCATAACACAAGCCTTACAGTGCTTACTTTGGGGCTAGGCTAATTGGTGTGAGTGTTGAAAATATTTATTTATTTAATTTCTATAGCAATGGGATCATGTCTACCTATTAGATGGGAAAAGTTATGGAACAAAATGTCACCTACATACTTTAGATAAATATAAATAAACATAATTAAAAAAAGTTTTGTATTTTCATATAAAAAGCGAAGAATTTTTTTTCCCAAACTAATATTATATCTAGCGGCCGCCCGCGCCTTAGTCTGCGTTAACTTGAGCTTTTTGAGAATCCCACAGGAACCTAAAGTTTTTCCTGGATAAAAAATATACTATGATTCAATCCAGTTCATAAACTATACATATACCAAATTTCATCCGAATCCGTTTAATAGATTTTGCATGATTGTGTAACAAACATTTTTTTATAATATATTTGAGTGCTTTGGACAAATATCGCACCTGATATTAACCAACGATGCAGTCTAAGCTCGAAAACTCAAATAATGCCTATTCACAATTGCCTTGAAAATCCCTATATTGTTGTTCCCTTTTTTACGTCAGGAAAATGAGTTACGCATACCCCACGGCCTTGGGAGTGCGACGAGGTTATGTGGGACTCCTCCACTCCTCTTCTCGCCCACCGACGGGCCATGTCCGAGGGCTGGCTGTGCGGGTGGGCGATGTCCCTCACCTCACTGACGGCACAGCGGTGACACTCTCTGGACGTGAGAGTTCCAGCGTCAGTGACCTTGAGCAGGAGCGTGTATGCTAGCGGTTGAACCGAATTGGAATTTAGACTTGTGCCAGTGAATATTTATGCATAGTAAGTTATTAAATGTAAACTGATTCAAGGATACTGGGGTAAGTAATGAAGGATAGGTGTGATTTTATAATCAATTTTTAATCTTTTAATGTAGGTACTATTACAAATTGCTAACTCTTATATATTTTCTGCTTTTTCGATTCGTTTTATAATTCTTATTATTATCTAAATAATAATAAGATTGCGTAGCGTAGTCAGTCTGTGCGTGCAATGCAGTGCAACGCTATTATTTTACTATTTCGGTACTGCCATGCCTTCGGTCGAGGCAGTCGGCGACTGCCCTCTCCAAGTCTCCACGCCCCGCGCGCCGCGCAAAGCCCCCACACACCTCCAGACACCCACACATAGCCGCGGGCGATTTTACGAGCACACATGCTTAAGTGTCGTTTTTTTCGCGTAGTGTATATAATAATAATAAATATTATTCTGTGCCGACGGGCCATGTCTTCCCCGGGCGAATGATCCACCATCTGGCGGCACCCCGCGCCCAGCGAGGAAACGGCACTGGGTGAGGCCACGGGAACCCTTTCGGATACTTCTGCGACCTCACCAGTGAGTGTCCGACTTGAACGGACCCACCCATCATGTAGTCCAGTCGGAATAAACATGAGACCTATTCTAAGACACCAGCGCTTAGCCAATTTTTTCCTAGATAGTATAGACCCCCACGAATATGCCCTCCATTTGTCCCCGCTAGAACCCGTGTTTTGTAGCCAGGAAAATTGTTTAAACAAAGAAAAACCGGTTTTTTGAGTTTTTTTGCTTGTAAACGGGGATTATGAAAATTTTTTTGAATCAAAGTTCTTCATTAGCTTGCCCTCTACAAAATCAGTTCTATGAAAAAATAACGTGAGATTGTTAGTTTAGCAGTAAATTGCAATTATGTCGGTTTTACGTTTGCAACAATTCAACATGTTATAATAAACATTTTGATTTCTAAAGTAGTTTATCATGTGGGTAACGCCACTCCCAAGAGAGTCATGTAAAATTGATCGACCTGTGTCGCAAACTTTAGCAACAATTCTCAATCTCCGAAAAAAAAGTACTTGCCTGTCCCGTCTTTCCCAGAAGGCGCACAGCGGGGAAAAAAATTCAGGTGATTCGAATCACCAAGAATTTTGAGGAATCGATCGAGTAGAAAAAAATCGTTAGTAAAAATGTTCCTTTTTGGACGATTTAAACTTTTTTTAAAAATTGACGTAGAATATTTTTTTTTTAAACTAATGTATTTTTCTCTCCTCAACTCGAATATACGATTGAAAATTTTAAAAATTCAGTTTATTTATGTACAGAAATTATTTACAAAACTATTAACTAAAATTCGATTACAAGACTGCGTTGTATTCTATATTTCTAATTAAATTAATTTCGTCCTTTTTTCTTCCGGTTCATAATTGGAATTCTCAGGGTATATTAGTATTATATATATATATATATATATATATATATATATATATATATATATATATATATATATATATATATTCAGAATAGTATATTCGAGTTGAGGAGAGAAAAATACATTAGTTTAAAAAAAAATTATTCTACTTCAATTTTTAAAAAAAATTTAAATCGTCCAAAAACGAACATTTTTATTAACGATTTTTTTCTACTCGATCGATTCCTCAAAATTCTTGGTGAATCGAATCACCTGAATTTTTTTCCCCGCTGTGCGCCTTCTGGGAATGACGGGACAGGCAAGTACTTTTTTTTCGGAGATTGAGAATTGTTGCTAAAGTTTGCGACACAGGTCGATAAATTTTACATGACTCTCTTGGGAGTGGCGTTACCCACATGATAAACTACTTTAGAAATCAAAATGTTTATTATAACATGTTGAATTGTTGCAAACGTAAAACCGACATAATTGCAATTTACTGCTAAACTAACAATCTCACGTTATTTTTTCATAGAACTGATTTTGTAGAGGGCAAGCTAATGAACAACTTTGATTCAAAAAAAATTTCAAAATCCCCGTTTACAAGCAAAAAAACTCAAAAAAAACTGTTTTTCTTTGTTTAAACAATTTTCCTGGCTACAAAACACGGGTTCTAGCGGGGACAAATGGAGGGCATATTCGTGGGGGTCTATACTACCTAGGAAAAAAATGGCTAAGCGCTGGTGTCTTAGAATAGAAGTCGGTCCAAATTATGGCTATTCCGACTGGACTAATGGCAGTTTGCATGATAAAGGAGGATGCGTATAGTTAGTCGTGAGCATTAAACACAAACATACAACCCTTCACTTTTATAATATTAGTAGGGTAGAATGTTTAAGTACAGTGTACAAAAAATAATGATTAAAACGAGTTGTATTGTGTATCCAATTTGAATAAAGAATTTTTGACTTTAAGGTAGTTTCTCAATCACGCAAAACGGCTGAACGGGTTTGGAAGGCATAAATTTAGTTTATTATCTGATTGGAGACATAGAATAATTTTGTTTCCAAAAATATTATGTTAGGTTCCTGATGGATTCTCTAAAACACAACTAACGCTTGAACTGCAGATGCCATACGTCACCCTATTTACATTAAAAGTCATTATTTATTTACGTGGTATGTGACGTCACCAGCGGCACTGAAATAAGCATATGTCAACGCGAACAAGCAGCAGATGTACGTCAGGACTGCTAAAAGGAATAACACGTCCCTCTCGTTTATCTGAAACAAAATAAGTATTTAAAGCTTATTTAATAGGAATACTTCGTGTCCTCATCATTATCAGCCTATTAATCTCCCCACTGCTGGGGCACAGGCATTCCCTATATGATGGATATGGATGGAATAGGTAGATTGGAACATGACGCACTACGCAGGCCTAGTGCGGATTGACGGGTGCTAACGACTGCCGATGCATCTGGGACCAACGGCGGCAACCGAAGCACGGAGTTATTCGAGATAAAAGATTTTTGGTCACCTATCCAAGGACCGACCACTGCGAAAGTGGCTTCAAAGATCGCAGCTGAACGCGCTAACCACCTTCGCCGTCTAGCTCCTCAGGAATACTTCGTGTATTCTAGCAAAATTGTACGTGACAATAATCTGTTTCTCAGCTTATTATATTCATAAATATTGAATAGATACACACCACAAGCCTGACGAGGCACATGACCAGCACTGTGATGGTCTCGAAGACTTGGACGCTGTAAAGATTCCCGATGGCATATTGTACGTACTCAGCACACCTGTCATGCAGAATCAATTAAGAGAAGTAAGACATAGCGATCGAATTGAAGAACCGGTGTGGGAAAGTAACCTCCATCTTTCAAAACACAGTAAAATGACACTACTGGCGGTGTTGTGTTTCGGATGGTGAGTAAGCATCGTAGCACATAATATCAATTCGAAAAGGGATACCGGCTCGCTTTTCGGATTGCCGTCAAACAGGCGTCCGACTTACGTAAACATGTAACGTAAACGGGTAAGCAACTTCCAGTACGATCGGGTTGGCTACGGCTAGGCCACGCCGCGCTTGCGGCTGGCCAACCACTGGTTGACGGCTAGGCAGCACCAGTTTGATCAGTCATAGAGAAAGTAACCACTACGTTATAGATGACGGCATTAACTAACCTCTTAAAACGAAGTGGTTACTTTCCCTATGGACAGCACCTTCGGCAACGCAGGCTGCGGCAGGGGCATGAACGAATAGATAAGCTAGTGTACGGCTAGACCACGCACGTACGGGAGCTTATCCTGAGACGAGGCGATTGCATAGCGATTTCGATTAGTGTGCGCTGCATTAATAAGGGCATCTAGACCACTGGAACCTGAGGGGGTCAGCTCACTAGAGGGCGTCTCTGAGACGATCTCGGCTCTAGTTAGCCGTTGTCGTGGGCGGCGGTAAAAACGCCCAGGTACGTACCTGTACCTGCTATATAGTGTCATGTGTAGACCTGGCCTTCGCACTCTTATCCTACGGGAACGGTGTCTGCCTAATGCTAAGCTAGTGTGCAAGTTTGCTAGCTGTTTAGTGTAGTGTTGGTGTTTGTGGCCTGTGTGGGAGGAATCGGAGCCGACGACCAAGTTGTCTTCGAATGGTTTCCTTAGTTAATCTGGTCGTTGTGGCTACTGGCCGTAGTAATGGCCGTCTAGTGTGCTAGGTGCCATTCATTATATCAGGTGAGTGGACATAATTTGCTTCTTCGTATGTAAAATAACACAATCATTTCTTATTGTTAACAATTATTAAAAGAATTTGTATTCATTCACATACCTATATAATTTTAACTTAGATATTACTCCCATACATACGCACACCTCAACATATGGCATTGATTGGGCTGGGTTAGAGAGATAACTTAAATCTAAAGTTTTCATCGTATTGTGAAATTTGTGCTGGTGATATATTTCGCAATAATTAAAAGTACTACATTTGGATGGTAAAAAAACTAAGATGAACAAAGTACATCTAAGTTAAGAGCAATGTATAACAAACACAGTTACCTACTTCAACTTCAAGAAACTAAGGAACCGTGCTTTATATATATATATACACTTCTGGACACATCTATTGGCCCACCTTAGAGTTTAGGTTTCGATGGCCCCTACCGAAATATGATTGCTAGATTGAACAAAAACTGTTGATGCAGTTTTAAACCTGATATATTTTACCATCTTTTTCGATCGTATTGTTTTAAATTTGAATTCAGAATACCATACGACATGGAGCTACGCCTAACAAGTCGGATATACGCCTTGTTAAAGGCAATTGATTTTTGAATAAAAAACATGTTTTATCAAATAATGGTTCTCCATGGGCATCTCCATGGCACCACAGCTCTCATACGATTAGGCATAGAGTTTATCAACCGCTCTATGAAATTTTGAGGGATCATCTCCCATTCCTCTTCTTTGGCAGTTTTCAACTCCTGCATCGTCTGGGCTTCTGGCTGGCCAGTCCATAACTGTGATGTTCACATCCCGAAGATATTCCCTGACGATGCCGGCCGCATGGGCTCTTGCATTATCATGCATAAAAAGGAAATTTGGGCCCACATAGTCCGCGTATGGTATCACGAGAGGTTCTAAGCACTCACGAATGATCCTTTCAGCATTTAATGTTGGCAGCCGTGGTCCTGTAACAACCTCAAGTTGAGTTTTGCCGCTCGCGGATATACCGCCCCAGACAGTCCATGAGCCACCGCCATAAGCAACCCTCTCTTCAAAGCAGCATTGTGCGAAACGCTTTCCCTTACGTCGGTAGACCTTCTTCCTTCCATCATTGCCATGTAACACAATTTTAGACTCATCAGAAAAGAGTACACGGCTCCAATCTTGCTGTGTCCAATTTAAATGACTGCGTGCGAAATGAAGGCGCGCTGTTCGGTGGGCTCGCGTTAGTTTGGGCCCATTAGCTAGCTTGAGTGGTACCATATCGCGTTCTTTTAACCTTCTCCGAACAGTTCGAGCGCTCACAGATACTCCATGGAAGTCGAGAATTTGTTTTTGTATCTCAATGGAGGTAAGGTGACGATTTCTCAAGCTGGTCGTCACGATGAATCGATCCTGCCTTTCAGTTGTGACCCGAGATCGTGGCCTTCCTTGGCGACGAACAAAGCCGCCAGTCTCTAGGTACCTCCGATAAACATTTCGGACCGCAGATCGACTTAAATTAAGTTGAGCACTCACGTTTCTTTGGCTGTGTCCGGCCTGAATAACTGCCACAGCTTGGGCGGCGACTTCAGGTGAAGTATCCATAGATTATTGATAGAACCTCACCTTAATGTTAAGAATAAGTAATGTTTGTTGCAAAACCAAAGATATCAATCACTTTTTCAAGAATTAAATCAATAAAACCAAGTTTTCTTAGTATTCGATTGTTTGATATCAACAAACAGGCTCCAAATTGTCTTTCATCATCAGCCTATTAATGTCCCCACTGCTGGGGAACAGGCCTTCCTTATGGATGGAATAGGGAGATTGGGCCATGACCCACCACGCGGGCCCAGTGCGGATTGGTGGGTGCTAACGACTGCAAATGCAGCCGGGACCAACGGCTTAACGTGCCTTCCGAAGCACGAAGGAGCTCGAGATAGTAAATTTTTGGTCACCCATCCAATGACCGACCACTGCCAAAGTTGCTTAACTTCAACGATCGCAGCCGAACGCGCTAGCCACCTGCGCCATCGAGCTCCAAATTGTCTTTAGTTTCTTTAAATTCTATGTTCGAAATTCAAAAAAAGACTATTGAATGAAATTGTGAATGTGCCAGGTTCAAAACTGCATAAAAACTTTTTGCTCGACCTAATATAAAATTTTAGCTAGGACCAAACGAAACTGAAAATACAAGGTGGGCCAATATATGTGTCCAGAAGTGTAGTTCTCTTAATAAATAAATAAATTGAAACCCAAAGTCATTCTTCAGCGTTATTTTGGTGGCATGGATAGGGAAGCGTTTCTTACCGACGATCAAAATACCGATTGGTCGTTGGTTATTAATTCGGTGTCTGTGGACGACCAAGTTGAGACTTTTAATCGTATAATAACTAAATTTTATGACAAACATGCTCCTTTTCGTCCCATCAAACTCAAACGCGTTCCAGCACCGTGGCTTACTGAAGACTTCAAAGCACAAAAAGGACGTTGCTAAATGCAAATATAAACGTCGTCCAACTGATGTAAATAAAGCCAACTATGTAAGAGCTCGCAATCAGTGTAATCTGGTGTGTAGGGACTCCTTACGTCGCCATATCCATGTCTTTGTCGACAATAAAGATCCAGCAAAAAACTGGAATTAATCCTTAAGTCTCTTGGAATTGGTAAATCCCGACAAGAATCTATTCCTAGTAGTATCTACGTTGATTCACTCAACCTTAACTTTTCTTCCTCTAGTCTAGTCTCAGTGATTCTAACAAGACCAGTACTTTAAATTATCTTTCTCCGTTACCAATTCCTGACTACTCTCCTTTTGTCTTTACTCAATTCACTGAATGTGACGTTAAGAAGGGCATGCTTTCTATCTCTTCCAAATGATGGCATCAGTCGCAACCTATCCTTGATATCATCCTTCCTGTCCTTACTTTCCTTTTTAACAGCTCGATTTCCAATGCTGTATTTCCGTCAGTTTGGAAGCAAGCCCAAATCATTTTACTCCCTAAAAAATAAAACCCTCAATCGGTCGCCAATTTTCGTCCCATCTCTATTCTTCCTTTCCCTTCTAAGGTCCTTGAACGCCTTGTCCAGAACCAATTTAATATATTCCTTTCTCGCCACGATCTCTTTAATCCTTTCCAATCCGGTGACTGAGGATAACGGTCAGTTAAGAGTTAAGATAACCTTGGGTTGGATAACGGTCTCCTTACGGTTACATTGTTGGACTTCAGCAATGCTTTTAACACAGTCAACTTTGATGTTCTTCTGGCATTGCTGCGCTCCCTTAACGTATCTCCATCAGTGATTGAGTGGCTTCACAGTTATCTGTATGGGCGCAGGCAGCGCGTTCGTTTCGAAGAGAAATTTTCTTAATGGAGCGATAAGAATGGCGGTGTTCCGCAAAGCGGCGTCTTATCAACTTGAGGATGCGGTGCGAGCCACTAATAGTGATCTCCATTACTAATTACAGAGTGAGTAATTACAGAGTAGAGTAAATCTTTTGCATTGGACTTGAATCCCTCTAAGACAACCAGCATAATAATAGGTAGTTCTAGGATGATAGACAAAATCTATTAGAAGTCACTACCCAGCATCGAACTGGCTGGAAATAATATTTAATTTAGCACATCGGTTAAAAACTTATTTGAGTTGGGGCCCACAAATGTAAGTGGTCAGTCGCAAACTATTTGCTTTGGCAGCTTCACTTAGGAGACTACGTAATTTCCTACCCGTCACCACCAAAGTTACCTTAGCACAGTCATCATTGCTTCCTATTCTTGATTACGCTGACGTCTGTTATCTTGATCTCACAGAGGACCAGCTTAATAAGCTTGAGCGACTTCAAAACTTTTGTATTCGCTTCATATTTGGTTTGCGCATATATGATCACGTTTCTCAATTTCGTTCGCACCTCAAGTCAAGGCTACCTATTCGCCTTCGCCGAAATACTCATATTCTTACTCTTCCCTACAACATATTGTTCAATCCTAAGTCCCCGCGCTATCTTAAGGAATGTTTTAATTTCCTTTACACTTGTAACATGTTATCTCTTAGGTCATCAGAAACTCCTGTACACAGTACCACTTTGTACAGTCACTCATTTGCAGTTCGAGCCATTCAATGGAACACAACAATGGAGCACAGGGGCTGATTGTACTCTTCAGTCTTCTGTATAATCTGCCGCACTGTGTGAATGTGGTCTATGGTGCCGTATCCGCTCCGAAACCCAGCCTGTTCCGGTGGTTGGAAGTCATCAAGTCTTCGCGCAAGACGGTTCGCGATCACTCTTGAGAACAGCTTATAGACGTGGCTTAGAAGGGATATGGGTCGATAGTTCTTAAGTTGGGTCTTGTCCCCCTTTTTAAAGAACAAGACAACCACACTCCTACTCCACGCCTCCGGAGTTCTCCCTTCGAACAGGACAGTGTTGAAAAGCTTTTGGAGCTCCCTCAGTTCGGGTTTACCTCCAGCCTTTAAGAGTTCTGTTGAAACACCATCCTCTCCAGGGGCTTTTCCATTTATAAGCTGTCCAAGAGCGTTTTCGATTTCGCCAATACTGACTTCTGGCAGGTCTTCGGTGAAGTGGCGTGTTAATGTGGCTCTAGAATCCTCATTTCCGGGATCGGGTCGAGATGCATGTGATGCGTACAACTGGCTATAGAAGTCTTCCACTTCCGAAAGGACTGCCGGCTTTGAAGCAACAACTTCCCCACTTGCTGTGGTCAACTTCGTCAGATGGCTACTTCCAAGAGATTGTACGAACACTTTGGATCCTCGATTCTGCTCGATCGAGAGAGTATTGGAGCACCGGAGGTCGTGTCGTACGTGCTTACTGATCTCTTGGTTTAGAGTCCGCTTTGCCGACGAAGTGACGGGTGGATTTTCACGTCGTTCCTTCATTAGCCTCTTCCGAAAGATGTGACTTCCTGCCCTTACGCTGCGTTGCACATAATCTCGTACCCTCTTCCCTAAGGATCCGAACCACATTTTCGAGGTTTTGGTTTACGTCTGTTGTGGTTTCCACGGCAGCAAATCGGTTCTCCAGATTTGACTGGAACGTTTCAGACTCTGTTATAGATTGGAGCACAGTAGGTTGGAGCCTGGATTTCATCTAACGGATGCGCTCGGCCTTAAAGTTGATATTCAAAGAGCCCCGGACGAGTCGGTGATCACTACCGGTATTGAACCTGTTGATCACTGAGACGTCTCTGAATATGTACCTCTTGTCTTGTCCGTCATGATGAAATTGATCTCACTTTTATTCATAGTGTCAGGGCTTTGCCACGTTCACTTCCTTTGGGGCTGTTTCTTGAAGAAAGAGTTCATCAAGAAGAGCCCCTCCCGTTCGAGGAAGTTGACGAGCATTTGCCCCCTATGATTTCTGCTTCCAAATCCATGGGATCCTACTACCGATTCGCAGCAATTATGTACTCCCACTTTAGCATTGAAGTCCCCCATAACAACGTTGTAGTGGGTCTTAGTAGTGGAGAGGAGGGCCCTCGATATATCATCGAACATATCCTCCACTTCGTCGTCCGAGTGTGTCGAGGTCGGTGCGTACACTTGCACCACCTTGAGGCTATACCTCTCGGTGAGCTTTATAATAAGGTACACTACCCTGTTCGACACGCTGGACATTTCCACAACGTTATCGGCAAGGGACTTATTCACCAAAAACCCAACGCCACCTTGGGACTGTTGGCCTCCCCCGCGGAAGTACATTAGGTGGCCCGATTCGAGCGTTATGGTGTCCTCCCCGTCTCTTCGGACTTCACTTAACCCTAAAATGTGCCACCTAATCTTCCCAAGTTCTACCTCGAGTTGCGCTAGATGCGAGTCAGGCCGTAGCGTGCGTCCGTTGTACGTCGCTAGGGTCAGTCTATTGTGGTGGCCTCCCGTAGCCCTGAGATTCTTCGCACCCCCCGCCCCGCCATTACCGTGGTCGCCACCGTGACCAGGAATAGCGGGGCTACCGGGAACTGGGGGCCGTGGCTTTTTGTTTGTGTGCATTCAAAGGTATTGCCCATAAACGCCACGCTGGGCAGGCAAGTTGGCGATCGCAGAACGTAGATTATTTCACTGATGACGCTGCTGCCCGTCACCAATGAGATTTTCCTCCCCTACGTCGTTGGATGGTTATACCGCCATCGGTCGGTTTGCCAGAGCCTCGTCTGTTGGTCAACAGGGTGCACCACGTGAAGGTGAGGTTGGCTTGGGTTCTTGCAGGTATATTAAGAAGCCCTTACACCCCACTCATATTCTTACTTGACGACCTCCGTGGTCGAGTGGTTTGTACGCCGGGTTTCATGGTGTCGCCGACTCGAGAGGTCCCGGGTTCAAATCCCGGTGGGGGCAGATGTTTGTGTGATGAATACGAGCATTTGTACTCCAGTCATGGATGTTTAATATGTATTTCTATATAAATATACTTATATATGTACAGTATATGTATTCTTTCCGTTACCCTAGTATCCCATAACACAAGCCTTACAGTGCTTACTTTGGGGCTGTGCTAATTGGTGTGAGTGTTGGCAATATTTATATTTATTTATATTATATTTATACTCTTCCCTACAACATATTGTTCAATCCTAAGTCCCCGCGCTATCTTAAGGAATGTTTTAATTTCCTTTACACTTGTAACATGTTATCTCTTAGGTCATCAGAAACTCCTGTACACAGTACCACTTTGTACAGTCACTCATTTGCAGTTCGAGCCATTCAATGGAATGGTATTCTATGGAATTCTCTTCCAGTTTCGATACGACGTGCGGAATCGATTCACATTTTTAAGAATCTCCTGAAGTCCCACTATTTGTCTTTGTACAATTTTTGTTTTATAATCGCTTTTGTAATTTCTACCGGCTCGACTAGATTTGTGTATGTATATGTTTATATGTATATATATATAATATATGTGTATTTGTTTGTGTATGTATATGTATATATTAATAAATTACATTGAAATTTACGACGCCGTCTCTCCCACTTCCTTAATCCTCTCCATCCCTCGAAATCGCTTTTAGCGATAAGGCCGCCCATTGTAACACTTGATTTAAATGGCTCTCTATTTATTGTAATGTTTTCTGTGGTGTACAATAACGTATTTTGTTTTGTATTGTATTAAATTGTAAACAAAGCTGCTTACTTAACTTACCACAAAGCCTCTTCATGTAACTGGATTCCGAGCTTGAAATCCTTCTCAAAATCGTCTCTCAAAGCCAACCTGCTTTTAGTCCCAATCTTATTTCGGGTTTTCTTCCTCAAATTATTGAAGTACTTCGTGACTATTTTGAATTTATAGCCCGAGAATATCAATGTAGAAACACAAAGACAGTCGGCCACGAGCATGTTGGTGACCATGCACCACCAGTGAAGTTCCACCAAGAAGCGGAGTATATTGACGAAAAAGCCAGAATTGTATCTGGTCGGGTACATAACCACTTCTGTTCGTATCGGAATGCCTGCAACGAAACGAACTGTACTATTCACAGACTCTCTCACAATAAATATACTAAAATTTCATAATTTAATAATGTAAGTAGGTATTTCTAAAGATTATTCAATAAAAAAAAAATTGGACTCGGTGCCATGCATGTCTGATAGGTCTGAGTTTCTATTTACTATTTGGTTTGGCATGGCACTGACAACAAAATATTAATTTGTTTTTAATTTTACTTTTGATGTAAGTAAAGTAAATTGTATTTTTCTTCAATAGATAACTTGGAAATATCTTACCTTGTGAGATATAAGTAAATATCCCGTCCATAAGGGTAAAAAAGAGAGTCCCATATGTTACGACAACCAAACAGATAGAATAAATAATAGCCTTTCTAACACTCTCTTTATCTAAATCTATAGAAGAGTAAATAGATCTGTTATCCTCCATCATACGTTTAAATAAATTTCGCACGCGCTCTTTTTGAAATATCAAAATCATGAATTTGACGCACAAGCATGGATGTGCAAAAGTAAAGCTGATCATATCATTTTTCTCTTTTACAGTCAAATCTGATCTGAAGTTAGCAGTTACCTCGTTGATAGTATTAAGAATTAGGTAGCTGTTATAAATGAACGCCCAAATGCCGTACAAGATCTTGTGGGTCCTGCTGCGTTCTGTCTTCTCGTACCAACAATCGCCCATTCCCAAGTAATAGATGACTCTGAGCAGTAATTTGAGGTAGTATTTTTGTGGATGACATTCCTTTACCGACTTTTTCGCGTCCATTGTAGACTGTTCTTTAACAGAAATAGTCAAGTTAATCAAGTATTTTGATTCAGATTAGTTTTTATACTTAAAAACGTTTTTGTTTGTCCATTTGTCGGTCTATTTTTTATCAATAATGTCATAATAAAATTATTACAATCCATAAACATTCACACCCTGTGGTAGAGAAGATCATAATTGTGCTAGCCAGTAAATTTTTTGAAACTTCTTTCTTTCCACTGCACTGAGATTCCCAAAGGGAAAATTGTGAAAAACATTACGACAATATCCGAAGCCGAAAACTAGCTCAGTCTAATTGCCGAACTCCAATCGGCCACTGGGTCGTTCCAATCCAATTATTTTTTCAACTTTACCGCCGATCACTTATTCTGGAACCACTCATCTCACCCGCAATTAAATTGAACTATCCAATCGCGACCTCTGTGAAGTTAGCCCCCCACTTTTTGAATTTTATTATTATCTAGGTTGTTCTGGGTTGTTCTATGTTTGTTCTACATTGTTCCAAAGTATTATTTGAAAAAACTAAAATTAGAAAGCTGCCAGACAAGAAAAACCGTTTTTCTATGGTAGCCCCCCCTGTTTGGAAATTCAACATTTTTTTAGTTGTTCCAAGTTGTTCTAGTTGTTCCGAACATTGTTCCAAAGTATTATTTGAAAAAACTCAAATTTGAAGTTGCCAAACAAAAAAAACTTTTTTATGGTAGCCCCCCATGTTGGGAAATTTAATATTTTTTTAGTTGTTCCAAGTTGTTCTAGTTGTTCCTAACATTGTTCCAAAGTATTATTTGAAAATATTCAAATTTGAAGCTGCCAGACAAAAAAAACTTTTTTTATGGTAGCCCCCCATGTTTTGAAATTCAATACTTTTTTAGTTGTTCCAAGTTGTTCTAGTTGTTCCTAACATTGTTCCAAAGTATTATTTGAAAAAACTCAAATTTGAAGCTGTCAGACAAAAAAAAACGTTTTTCAGATGTTTGGAAATTCGTTATTTTTAAAGTTGTTCCAAGTTGTTCTAGTTGTTCCTAACATTGTTCCAAAGTATTATTTGAAAAAACTCAAATTTGAAGCTGTCAGACAAAAAAAAACCGTTTTTCAGATAGCCCGCCAAATCAAATCGTAGTAGAGACAATAAATAAATCAACAATAATTTTAAACAATGACGATTGTATCAGTACAACCGTGGGCTATATCGTTCCAATTTCATTTAATCATTTTGAATAAAATTAATAGTTATAAGTCAAGAAAACATTACACTATAGGGTAAACTCCCTAATTGTTGGCACTTTAAGAGTAGGTTCCATGTCAGTCAGACATTGAATTACCATAAAATCACATCTAAATGATTTAGTACACAACACATGTTACAGTATCAAGGAAATATAGTTCAATCTTTGTTTTCATAATAGTACAGTCAATGAAGGCAAAAATCAGATTCCATCGATTTTCATGAAAAATGGTGATGAGGTGGGGGATACCATATGAAACAAAAGTGACATAGTGCCAAGTGTAAAAATTATTTTAATAAAAATAACTCTAGGAATCGATAGAAAGACAAATTCTAAGCAAAAGTTGTTATATTAAATTTTCGAAATAAATCAATACTTTCTGAGTTAATAATGATCAAAGATTGTGTGATTTTGCGTCAAAAAATTCATGTTTTAAGCGGTTTTTCATAAATATCTCAAAAACTATGAGTTTAAAGAAAAATATATTATTACTAGACGCAACGAATATTCGGTTACTATTCGGTATTCGGCTTATTCGGCTGCTTTTATTATATTCGGCCGAATACCGAATACCTACATATTATTCGGCTGAATATCGAATACTTAAATAATATATTTTGTCATAGAGAAATAATTGGTAAAATGAAAAATTAATATCGATTGATTACGTAGGTATATATTCATATTTTCATTTCTGTTATATATAATCATTGAAGTAGTCATTGGTACATAACACAGGTACATAATCATCTTCTGAATTGGAAAAATGGCGGATTCTATGTATTTGAATTATTGTGGTAATCAAAATTTAAAAGGGTAAGGTTCTCATTTCTTTTATAATCATTTATTAAGTAGTCATTGGTACATAAAACAGGTACATGATTTAGTCATTTTCTGTATTAAACAAGTTAACAATTTTTCTATGCATTTGAATTATTTTCATAATCAAAATTTAGAAGGGGAAGGTTATGGTGCAGAAAGACTAAATTTTCTGCATTTTTAGGAAGTAGTAGAACTTCTTTTTTTCTCGTACACCATCCCAGCTTCAGAGAAAAGGCGCTTTGAATAAACACTACTTCCTGGCGCCGACAAATATTTTGCTGCAATCTTAATCAAACACGGAAATTCAAATTTTCTTGCTGCCACCATGTATATGGGTTGTCATGGCGTGATATATTACTAATATTTAATAAAAGGTCCATTTCTGTTGAAACTGCGTTTGACTGAATTGCACTGCAAACAAAGGGGCACGAAACAATCACGTTTGTACAAGTTTTTGGCGCTAAAATCCAGCCGAATACTTTTGCCTAATATTCGGCTATTCGGTCAGGGGCCTCGCCGAATATTCGGTATACTGCCGAATATACTATTCGTTGCAAGTCTAATTATTACCAAAATTTAAGCTAATAAAAAAAGCAAACCCTTCTTTGAAAAACCTTCTTATATGAATTCAAAGTGAGCTATAGGTAATTGTATGTATATTTTTTTCGACGAGTACTTAAATCTAAGTTTTCAACCCTAAATAACGGGAAACCGATGCATTTTGATGAATGGTTGGAATGAAGGGTTTATTTTTCGTTTTTCCTAAAAAAATTAAGTGTTATCTTATTTTTATCATAACTTTTTCAATTTTGAAGCTATTAACTTTTTACAGTGCTCATTATAAAGGTATTTTTGAGGACTTTAAAAAGTGTTCTGGAAGTGTATGTCAAAAATTCATCGGTTTCCCGTTATTTAGGTTTGAATATTTAGAATTAAGTACTTGCCGAAAAAAAATTATGTATACAATTAATTACCTATAGCTCACTTTGAATTAAAATTAGAAGGTTTTTCAAAGTAGGTAGGTTTGTTTGTTTTTTTATTAGCTTCAATTTTGGTACTAATATTTTTTTTGTAAAGTTTTTGAGTTATTTATGAAAAACCGCTTAAACGTGTATTTTTATCACGCAAAATCACAATCTTTGATCTTTAATAACTCAGAAAGTATTGATTTATTCCGAAAACTTAATATATCAAATTTTACTTAGAATTTGTCTTTCTATCGATTCCTGTAGTTATTTTTATTAAAATAATTTTCACCCTCGAGAAGGGGTGGTATCTACCCTCAGGGCAAAAGCGCAAGTTGGCACTATGTCACTTTTGTTTCTTATGGTATCCCCCACCTACTTACCAATTTTCATGAAAATCGATGGAGGTTCAACGAAATCGGAGGTTGTAGCTGATTTTTGCCTTCATTGACTGTACCATTATGAAAACAAAGATTAAACTACTTTCTTTGATACTGTTACATGTGTAACATGTGTTGTGTACTAACTCGTTTAGATATGATTTTATGGTAATTTAATGTCTGACATGCTACCTACTCTTAAAGTGCCAACAATTAGGGAGTTTTCCCTATATTCTAATGTTTTCTTTTCTAATAATTTAATTCAAAATGATTAAATGAAATTGGAACGATATAGCCCACGGTTGTACTGTTGTTGTACAATCGTCATTGTTTAAATTGATTTTTGATATATTTATTGTCTCTGGTAGGTACGATTGATTTTATTTTATAAATAAAAGTTTTTTTTGTCTTACAGCTTCAAATTTGAGTTTTTTCAAATAATACTTTGGAACAATGTTAGGAACAACTAGAGCAACTTGGAACAACTAAAAAAATAATGAATTTCCAAACATGGGGGGCTATCTCAAAAACGTTTTTTTTGCCTGACAGCTTCAAAAGTTGAGTTTTTGCAAATAATACTTTGGAACAATATTAGGAACAACTAGAACAACTTGGAACAACTAAAAAAATAATGAATTTGCAAACATGGGGGGCTATCTCAAACACGGTTTTTTTTGCCTGACAGCTTCAAATTGGATTTTTTTCAAATAATACTTTGGAACAATGTTAGGAACAACTAGAACAACTTGGAACAACTAAAAAAGTATTGAATTTCAAAACATGGGGGGCTACCATAAAAAAAAGTTTTTTTTGTCTGGCAGCTTCAAATTTGAATATATTCAAATAATACTTTGGAACAATGTTAGGAACAACTAGAACAACTTAGAACAACTAAAAAAATATTGAATTTCCAAACATGGGGGGCTACCATAGAAAAACGGTTTTTCTTGTCTGGCAGCTTCAATTTTTAGTTTTTTCAAATAATACTTTGGAACAATGTAGAACAAACAGAACAACCCAGAACAACCTAGATAATAATAAAATTCAAAAAGTGGGGGGCTAACTTCACAGAGGTCCAATCGCGCCGTGAATTCACCGGATTAGTAGGAGCTGAATATTGTAATAGCCCGGATTTTAGTCAGAGTTTGTTATAATACCCTGCTATTGATTTTGGCTGAATTCGGAATCAGTTTTGTGAGTAAGGGCGCATCGACTAGACTTAAGTGTATCTGAACTTGTTTATGAAACGAAAAAAAAACGTATTTTGTTGCTGATATAATTTCCTATTAAATATGTATGTTCAAACTATGTATGTATTTAAAATATACATAGTTTGAACATACATATGAAACATAAATTATAAATATTTCAATTTCATTTACGTTTGCCTTCAATGTTATTAAAAAAATGTAATCAATATATACTATAATTTTTTCTCTCTTTGACAATCATGCATCATGGAAACACGCTGGAAATAAAAAAATCGAGTAATACTTTTATAAAATATAACTCGACCCTGCCTGAACAAGCAAATTTAACGTAAAAGCTTTTTAATTTAAAACTTTAGTGAGGTAATTAAATTTTAAACTTTGTTTCTGAATACGGTATTATTACGTAGAAGCTTAGTAATAATCACTTAATAGTTTCAAATTTCGACGAAAACGCCTAATTTAAAGTTCCTGGCAATTA